CTATTTGAATGTCTAATAGAATAAAGGGTTGCACATTGAGTGATATATTGCATTGAATATAAAAAATATTATATAAATATCTACATTCTATTGGACATTCAAATGATAAGTTTGATTTTGAACTTTACAGTATATCGGACCCACAAAATAAAGGGTAATATGAAATTATAATTTTTTATTAGGATAAAATCATATTTTTTAACGGTTATATTAACATATATCAACGAAAAAGAGTTACATGTTACACGTGCATAAATGTCATGAGATGTAGGAGTAATATTTTAAATGTAAATGAGTCCAAATGATTAAGTGACAAGCATGAGGGGATCTAGGTAAAATTTATCAATTTAGTTTTAGATGCACATTAATACAAATTTTTATGTTTAAGGGTGTAAATTGAGATTTTTTATCTTTGGGAGTGCACATTGATACAAATTTCTATTTTTGAGGGTATAAATTGAGATTTTTTATCTTTGGGGGTGTACATTAATACAATTTTTTATCTTTGAGGGTACAAATTAAAATTTTTGATCTTTAAAAGTGTAAATTGAAATTTGAACTATCTTTCAGAGTGCAACTTACAATTAACCCAACATTATTCTATCAACAAATTAGTTTAGGTACAAATATTTTTGACCTTTTATGGGAGTTCAGATCTTTTGAATTTAGGTCGAAATTCACTACAATAAAACGACAAATACTAAGTCAAACAAATGTAGATCATTAATTTTCTCATTGTGCAGTAGTTGTGGTAAAAAAAAATTGATTTTGACGTAAATAACTAGGATGCGGAAGCCTCGCTTGGAATTCATCATGGGAAGCTAATAATTATGGTTGCATCTGGATGTCATTTTTGACTTCCCATACCCTAAAAATTATATTTTAGTTTTTCAGTTCCACTTAGTTTTATCCATTGATGGGTGACATAAGAGTTCGTTAATTTAGTCAAAGCAACTTAGGTAGTCCAACACTATCATGGTATATGTAGCAGCTTTCGCACTATAATGTGGCTCGGAGGTGTCTGTTTGTAAGGGCCCACTTCACATGGAACCGTATTTTTATGACTCTTGCAGGAGGAAAAAAAAACAGTGGTTGGCTCAGTGTCTATTATACGAGTAACGCATATCTGGCGCTAATATCCGATGTTACGGTGATATTATATTATAATTATTATATGGTGTTATTATTTAATTAAACATTGTCAAATAAATTAAGTAAATCTTATTTTTTTTTATCTGAGTTTGTGGAGCCCACAAACTCATTTAGTTTTTATTAATTAAGTGATGATATTACATGTTGATTATGACATGATATTTTTGTTTTATTAAATACTAGTTATTATCCGTGCTTGAAGGTATAAAGTAATAAAAAAATAATTAACAATAAACATATTTATATTTACATTCAAAATTAAATCCCAATCATAGAGAAGAGATAAAAGAATTTAAACACCAATTGTAATGGGGGTGAGCGGTGATAGTGATGGTGAGTGGCAATGGTGGTGGTGGGAGACAGTGGTGGTTATGGTGGATGGCGACGACAGTGGAGGTGGTGGCAACCATGGGTGACAACGATGATGGTACTGGTGGGTTTTGGGTGACGGCGTAGGTGGTAATGGGTGTGGTTGGTGGTTGGCAATAGTGATGATGGTTGACAGTGGTGATTGTGGGGAAATGATGATAGTGGTGGCGACGGTAAGTTATAGTGGTGGGTAGGGACGATTGTGGTTGTGGGTGACAACAAGTGCTTTTAGGCAATAATGTGATGGGTGATGGTGAATGACAGTGGTGATAGTTGTGGGTGATAGTGAGTGGTGACAGTAGTGGGCGATGACGGGAGGTGATAGTTGGTAGTGGTAAGTGTGATGGGGGTGGGAGATAGTGGCTGGCGACAATGATGGGCGACGAAGGGTGGTGGTGGGTTGTGGTAGTGGATGACGGTGGATGGCGGTGGGCAACAATGGTGGTGGTCGGTGTTGACAGTGAGCGACAATTGTAGTGGGATGATAGTTGTAGTGATAAATATAAGAATGAGATGATGATGGTAGTGAGTGGTAGCGGTTGACGATAGTGATAACAATTGGTGGTGGGTGACAATGGTGGTAGTGGTGATGGTCTTGGGGGAGGGTAGTAGGGATGATAGTGATGGGGGATGGTAGGGTGGCGGTGATGGTGATGGTGGTGGTCGTGATAGTGGTGATGGGGGTGGTGGTGGGGG